TCAGTAATCCTATTGAAAATGCCTCTGAAGGACAGTCCAAGGAAAGCTGGGAGAAAGGGGAGCGAATGGAATGTGAGGAGAGGAGAAATGCCATTGACGGTGGTCAGTGTGATGTGGACAGACGTCTCTGCTGAACGTCCACGGAGACGACGGCCTGACAGAGATGCTCCAAGTCCACCTTTCACCCCCTCCGCACACACACACACACACACAGTGCTCCTCTCATCTCCCTAATTCCCAGTGGACCCCCCCCCCACACCCTCACTCCCCTTCACACAGTGAATTCCTCGGCCTTTCAGCCCAGATTTATGCCTCCGCCGGTTTTTTTTTTTTTTTATAGAGACGCTCAAAATATCTGGACTCAGATCCCAGGTGAAGAAGAATAACCTTGGTTTTATTTGGTGGCTGCAGCTGAGGCACAGATTCAGAGGATCAAGGTGTAGTCGACAAGCCGCTACACCCCCCCCCCCTGCTGCACTGGAGACAAAAGTCCAAGGCCACAAATATTTATTTTTTTAGCAGTAAATAAACCGTCCTCGTTATCTCCTCCGTCTCTTTGGGCTGTAAAATAACAATAATAACAAGACCGGACTTTCATACTGTGATGTTTTATGTCATGGTTTATTCATAGTGACATTTATTAGCAGATGTTTAACCTGACTACATGACCTTTGGCAGTTTACAAGATTACAACCAGATAATGGAGAATATATTTGCAAGACCTTTTTTTTTTTAAGAAAAGTGATTTTTTTGTGGAAAAAACAAAACAAACGAAACATCTGCTGCCTTAAATGTCAAAATAAAACCAGGAAAATTATTTTAATAATGGCACTTTTCTCAGTTCACCCTGGTGAACACACTTCAGCCCAGTAGGGGGCAGTAATGTACCATATGTTTTTTTTTTATTGATGCAAAGAAAGAATTGTTGTTGGTTATGTTTTTAGCTGGGTTTTTTTTGTTGTCCAGAGAAATAATTTACAGATTTATTGACGTCTTCAGAGCTTCTGATGTTTCGTCCAATCAAATGTCTGATCTTCAGCCATTCAGTGTGTTTGTTTCCCTGAAGCCTGTGGTTGTGCTGGAATCTGTGTGTTTCAACGACCTGATGAAAAGTGTGTGTTGTTGTGGAACTGGCGACCCACAACATCTGAGTGTGTTGTTGTATCCCAACATCCCCAAAATCAAAGGCAACACACGTTGTTGTTTGTAACATCTCAGCCTTGAGTCATGGCCCTAACATCCTCTCCCTCTGTCTCCCCCTCTGTCTCCCCCTCTGTCTCTCTCCCTCTCTTCTCCGCAGCATTTTTCCGTGAGCTCCTGAAAAATGCAGAGGGCTCGTTGCACAACATGTTTGTGCGAACGTACGGCATGATGTACGTGCAGAACGCCGAGCTCTTCAAGAACTTCTTCACGTCCCTGACCCGGTACTACCAGTCCGGCAGCAGCGCCGTCAACCTGGACTCCATGCTGTCGGAGTTCTGGGCCGAGCTGCTGGAGAGAATGTTCCGGCTGGTCAACGTGCAGTACGAGTTCACCGACGAGTACATGGACTGCGTCAGCCGCTACACCGACCAGCTGCAGCCGTTTGGCGACGTGCCGCGCAAACTGCGCATCCAGCTGACGCGAGCCTTCGTCGCCACACGCACCTTCGTGCGCGGCCTGGCGCTCATCCCTCAGGTGGTCAATAAAGTTTCCACGGTAGGTTGGATACGCTGTAACCTCCCCCCCGCCCTCCCTCCTTAAATAATAAGACCAAAGCACAGCTGAGAGCCCCCGCCCCTCATGTTGTATCTCTTTGGCTCTGGTTCCAGTGCATTGTCTCAGATGAAGACAAACCGCCCTGACTGCTGCGCCCTGACTGCTGCCATGTTGTTCCACTTTAGCCAGTGATTCAGTGATAATGAAATTATGATGATTTGTGTCGTGTGATCGTAACATTTAGGTCTCTGCTCCTTTCATTGTCTGAGAATGTGTCGGTGTGTGAGTCCGACCGAACATGAAAAACACACAACAACAACAACAACAACAAATGTGTCGTTAAAACCCAGCTGCTCACAAATATTTCTTTTATTGACCTGTTGCCCGGATACTGACAGATACACAGAAAACTGATGTCATGTGGAGAGTACATAACTACTCCCCCTCCCCCCGGAAACAAAAAAAAAAAATACACCTTGCAAATTTTTCTGACCGACTGATACCTTCAGCTCAAAGTCCGGCTGTGATTGGACGTCGAAATCTGTATGAAATCTGTGTCTAATATACAGTTAAATATCATCTAAATAATATTTATTATTTAATTACCATTTCATGTTCTATTCATTATAATTGTTTATATAATTATGTTAATTTTTTTGTTATTATTATTATTATATGAATGGTAATGAGTCAATAACAAAACAAATACTGGTAGGATTTTACAGTTTACTAATTTAAAAAAAATAAAACTGTTACAGATTAAATTTAGTTTAAATTTCAGAGATTAAAACTGAACTAAAGTTCCAACGTTTTTTACTTCCTAACTTTGGGCTAAGTTGCGACTCCTCTGTAAAACTTGCAGCTAAGTTTGAATATATGATGTCTAACAGGCTAACTGCTAACCGCTAACTGTCGTCTCTCAGGTCGGGGCGTCCGTCAGCTGTGTGCGCGCCGTCATGAAGATGATGTACTGCCCCTACTGTTCGGGCCAGGTGGCCCTGAAGCCGTGCCAGAACTACTGCCTGAATGTGATGCGGGGCTGTTTGGCCAATCAGGCGGACCTGGACACGGAGTGGAACAACTTCCTGGGTAAGAATGTTCAACACCCCGTGGCCCACTGTTCCACTGCTCCTCCACTCTGGAGCTAAAACATCATCTCTGTCTTAACCTCCCGTGAACATGAGGTCATGGTGTCAGGACATGATTGGTGGATGGTCAGTCCTAATCCATCGTTATCAGAGGAGTGTTGGTGTTTTTCTTTTTGGCAGGAGCGGCTGTATTAAAGCAAAAACACGTCCAAACACATCCTTCATGTTTTAGTATCTAGTTGAAGTTGAAGTTTCAGGGAGGGAGTGTGTGTACCGGCTGTAATCCCCCGGTTCCTCTGGATGACTACATCTCCCCAGTTGTGTAAACACACCTGGATTAGTTTACTTATGTTCAGGCTGGAACACACGTCACAGTGTGTTCGTTATGTCCACCGTTGAAGGAACTACAACAGTTGGCCTGTGCTTCCCTCTAGTGGCTCTCGGTTGTAACTCCACCTCTGACTGAATATACAGTACATTTTATGTTATTTGTAGGACTGTGGAACTAAATCATCAACCACGGCGTATTTGTAGTTTAATCACGATTAATCACTAGTAAATCACTTTTAACGAAATATAAAAAAAATATATTTAATATGTATGTATATATGTATATGTGTATGTCTATGTGTATATATGCATATATATGTGTATGTATGTATATGTATATATGTCTATGTATGTATATGTCTATATGTCTATATATGTATAGCTATATATGCCTATATATGTATATGTATATATGTCTATATGTATATATTTATATGTATATATATATATGCATATGTGTATATATGTGTGTGTATATATATGTGAATATATGTTTCCATCTTTGTGTTTACTTGTACAATGTTCTAGTATTTTCACCAGTGAATTCTGGAGAGCATTTATTGTGACAGTGCTGATGATTTTCTGTTTTTCTGCTCCTCAGACGCCATGCTCAGTTTGGCAGAGAGACTCGAAGGTCCCTTTAATTTTGAGTCCGTCGTGGAGCCGATCGACGTGAAGATTTCCGATGCCATCATGAACATGCAGGAGAACAGCATGCAGGTGTCACAGAAGGTCAGTGTCAGCAGAGGAAACAGAGAGCACAAATATATATAAAAAAAAAAAGATAACTCCTCGTCCTAACTCTCTCCTCCTCTTGTCGTAGGTTTTCCAGGGCTGTGGGCAGCCCAAACCCAGCGCGGCCTTCCGTACTCGGCGTTCACTCAAAGAAACGAGCTTTACCGGACGCTTCCGACCCTACAGCCCCGACGCCAGGCCCACCACGGCTGCTGGGACCAGTTTAGATCGACTGGTGAGATAGAAATGAAAAAAAAAAAAAAACCCTCAACCCCAGTCGGTCTGCTGTCGTCGGTTGTGTCTCACTGCTCCCGTTTGTTTGTCCATTTTGAAGACGACTGATGTGAAGAAGAAGCTGAAACAAGCAAAGAAGTTCTGGTCCACTCTGCCAGAGACGATGTGTGCAGGAGAGAGGATCGCAGCTGGAGACGAGTGCTGGAACGGAACGGCAAAGAGCAGGTAAGAAACAATATATATGTGTATGTATATATGTCTATATATATTTTTATATGTATGCATATATGTGTGTATATATACATATATGTATGTATGTGCATATATGTGTATGTATATGTATATATGTGTGTATATATGTATGTAAAAAATATATATATGAATGTATATGTAAGCCATGTGTATGCCATATATATTTATATATGTATATGAATATACATATATACATGTATATATGTACAAATATGTATGTATATATGTGTAAACTAAACAGTAACATTTACGACTTTTTGTTGTTTGTCTCCATAGGTATGAATCAGTTGTCATAGGCAACGGATTGGCCAATCAGGTGTCGAACCCTGATGTCGCCGTGGACATCACGAAGCCAGACGTTATTATTCGCAGTCAAATTGCAGTTTTGAAGGAAATGACGAGTTGGCTGAAAGCTGCTCACAGCGGCAACGACATCTCTGTTGAAAACGGTAAGAGTGTGTGTTTATTTGTTTAATGGTCGTCATCACGGTCTGTTGAGACGTGAAGATCTGACCTCACCCTCTGATCTGGTCTTGTTCTCAGATGAGGGCGGCAGCGGAGGTGAGGAGAGCGGCAGCGGTTGCGACTCCCCGTCCTGCGACACGGACCAGTTCTACTTCTCTACTCCACCAAACCCCAGCAATCCCCGGGTCAACAAAGTGGCGGTCAATCCCGCTTCTTCGGCCAAGGTCGCCGCACACGGAAGCATGGCGCTGGCGCTCTGCGGGTTGGCCCTGGCCTGGCTCGCTCCCCATTTGAGATAAGGCCGACCGGTCAAAGAGCACAAGTGTGATACGGAACGTTGGAGCGAAGGGGGAGGGGTTCTGTCAGAAAGACTTTTTAAAAAAAGGAAAAAAAAAAAAGACTGCCTTCAAGAACTTGGACTGTTCGCCGCTGGGGGGTGGGGGGGCTGTTCTTAATATTATAATAACTTCACTTTTAATAATTAGTATGTTTTAAGGACATCAGTGTACAGCAATGTGGTTTTCTCCTACAAATTCACCCTTTAACCCCCAGATACGCCTTAGCTTTTTATGGCTCTTTTGGAGCTACACTATGGTTTAGCTTTGAGCATTTTTTTTTTGTTCTGGCAAATTTATTTTCACAATTCATGTGCCTTCCATGGTCGCGGAATATTAGACTGGATACTTGGAATGACATTGAGAGACACATTTGTTATGAAATTTTTTCATTAAATATATATGTATATATATATTTATATATATATTTATACATATGTATATATAAATACATAAAGACAGAACATATGATGCTACCTTTTAGTAACTGCTCAGAAACAGCTTCACAGTCAGGAGTCGTCGAATGTAGGATTTTGTCTGAAAATCAACAAAGAGAAAAATCCTCAGCAGAAGAATCTGACCTTTGACCAGAGGCAAGCTGTTCTCGGCTACGAGCATCATCACAAGCTAACATCAAATTTTTTTTTTTATAATTTCTTTAAGCTGAAACATGCCGGCAGTAAAGTGATACCTCATGCGTGCAGGCTGAAAGTGTGTGATGGAGATGAGAAAGGTGTCGAGCGAACCTGGTGAAAAGTAACAGTTTCGGTCGTAGACGGACTCCCCTGGCGTCGATCCTGACGAAGGCAAGGCTGACGAGCCCTGAAAGCCACGTATCGGTACCGTGAGCTCAGTTCAGCACAGAAGTTCTGACTCTCGACAGTCTTACTGTTTTTTTAAAAAAAAAAAAAAAAAAGGAAAGGAAGCAACACGTTTGTGCGGAGCATTTCACGATCAACCAGCGAGCAGGAGTCAAAAGTCAGAGCTTCGTTCAATAGTTGTTACATGTAGCTGTTTGCTAACAGATATATATTTTTCGGTACTACAGTTGGACCGATGGATGGTTCTAGGTGGTACCACCTGACAGATCTCCTGGTCCTCATCACGTTCATGTCGTTCTGACTGGACGTGGAATGTTGAAGTATTTTAACAAGCGCTACCAAAATTAACACCCAGTGCCTGGTCTTTGTTAATGTAACCTCGGTTTCATAAAAGAAGAATGTAGATGTTGTTGATTTTTATCCTCTCAGATTCACTGAAGTCGTTTCAAGTTTTTGTTTTGTTTTTGTTTTGTTACAGTTGATTTTTTTTTTGATAAGCAGGTCTTTAAAACTGCACCACCCGGCCATTTCATTTCTACACCGATGCTGCCTCATGTAGCTTCTGTACAGTAATTTATGCATGTATTTTAATGTATTTTTAAACATACTGATTTGGAAAGTCCACAGTGTTTCAGGAGGCTTTACACGCTAAATTGAGTGTCCTTACATTTAAGGGCTTTAAAATGTTATGAACGTGTTTCATGTTTATCCACTTAGGAAAAACAAAAACATCTGACCTCGATTTGGAATTGAATTTGGAAGAATGTCATTAATGTAAAAACAGCTTTGTGTTTGGCTTAGAGATGAAACTCATAGGAATCTGACTTTGAAGGATTTGATGAAACATCAATGTCTGAAATGCTGAAGCCCGGATCCAAGAGAGTGAAGCCGGGCATCGGTTCAACGTCACACTTCACCCTGATCTGTTGTTGTTTTTGTTGTTGTTGTTGTTGTTGTTGTTTGTCATTGTCAAGTTCCACCAACATTTCTACAAGGGCTTGTGCATGTGTGTTGTCAAGTGGAAGCGGTGTGTGTGTGTCAAGTGTGAGGCGTTGTCGGCTTTCTGAGAGTCGGAGGCGGAGTTTGGTTGATGATGGTAAAAATGTCTGTGCTTGCAGGCCAGGGCAGAGACACACAGAGAGAGAAGCTGGTCCGGTGGCTGTGTCGGGATGTTTTTTTTTTTTTTACCATCCACAGATCCACGGTCCAGTGACTTTAAAGTTGAGTTGGACAAGTGATGAAACTTCTCCTCTCCTGCCTTTGGCCCCGCAAGAGCAGAGATGACTCACTTTCAAAGGAGAGAGTGAGGGACTTAAAAGAATTTTTTAAGAAAAATATATATGTAAATAAAGAGCAGCCGTTTTTAGATGTCTCTAAAAGAGGCCGTAACCTTACACCAGATTTTTACTTGTCAGAGTATCTCCTAAATGCTATGAAAAAAAAAAACAAGCAGAGATAGATGTTAAATTGTAAGAGAAAAAAATGTATATTAAACAACATTTCTTAGTCTTGTTGAAATAAAGACTGCCAATATTTTAACAGCTGTGCTATGTTTGATTCTGTTATTGAAACTGAAAAAACTTTCTGTCCAACTCTTGAACATTCAGCAGTGAAACTGGGTCTTCAGCTCATCAGTCTTCAAGTTAATTCATTCAATTATTTAATAATTGTAGATAATTATAGCACAAATAAAAATCATAATGCTATAGGGGAATTTTAAATAGGTAATGTAAATTATCCCCCTTAAGTTTATTTTTAGAGAAGAAAAATCCAAGGATTATTCTTCTCTAAATACAATAAAAATATGCGTTCGCCACAAAACACCTCACAGTTTTGGAAGAGAAGGTTCTTAATGAGGTCATTGTTCTTCTTTACAATATGGTATTTTTATTCAATGACTATTAGGCCATAGAGAGGCGTCCTATTGTTCCAAAGACAGGAGGATTCATCATTGGAATAAATTTAAAAAAAAGAAGCTACAAATGGTATTAAGCTGCAGTGGAGGATAAAGAAGGACTTGTATAATTTGCTCTCTCTTAGTATCCTTAATAGCCATATTACAAAGAGTGTAATTTAGCATTGTATCACAGAAAAACATCATCCGCCATCTTGTTCTTTGTTGCAGCAATAAGCTGTCCCGTAAAGGGACATGGGTAAAATGTTAATTTGTTTTTGTTTTTGTTTTTATTTCCCCCAATGTCTCTTTAAGGGCGGTAATTTGTTTTTATTTATTTCCCCCAATGTCTCTTTAAGGGATTTGTTTTTATTTATTTCCCCCCAATGTCTCTTTAAGGGCTCCGTTAGAAGCCAGCAAGAAATGTATAATCCTTAACCACGGCTTTTATTGAGTACTACCCGCAGGCCCCAGAAGAGGGAGCTACATGCTCAATATTGAGAAACAATATACCATAATAAATATGGTACTTGTTTATTTTACAAGATATTTTAAAAATATATTTTAACAAGCGATGTATATATGGACCAATTACGGTGGAACACAAACCTCAGTTATAAGAAATACATTTATATTATCGTCACAATATCTCAGATCCAAATTAAACTATTAGCGCCGTGGTGTGTCACACACTAATCGGTCCGGCGGAAGAGGTGCTCAGCGCCTTGAAACAAAGGAAATGGCGAGCGGTATTGGAAGTGAGTAAAATATACTGGCTAATATTTTTAATTTGTTTTCCAATTAGTCACAGCAAACTGTGACATCACACTTATTTCGAATAGTGGCATTTTTATGCACATTTTGTCGTCGTGTAAGAAAACGTTACACAGTGCTGCCCGGTGTATCTCATGAATGGGTCCCCCGTAAACAACAGTGCTAAGCTAACGCTACACAAACCAGTATTGCTTTATTATTTACCCGATAGTTTCTTCCTATACATTTTTTCTTGTTGCACAGAGTCACCGTAAACCTGATCAAATTGTTTTGATGTAAACCGTTACGTTGTACTTGCCGCTCTTCACTAACGTCTCTGAAGCTAATTGTAGCAAGCTAATGAATAAACAAGACATCAGTGAGTTTAAAGCTCTGGTTTGTTTATTTTTGAATTTATCCTCTTTGTTACGAGACTTATTTTATACCTTTAGCCGTATGTGAATTTGCACGGACCTGAAACGTGTGCTACTCCCCCACAAAATATAAATATTAATCTGTATCGGTCTGGTACGGATGATGGAAATATCACCTGGGCATTGTTTTGGTATATTATTTTATTATTCATTATATTAACTCGTGCTATTTTAATAACATTGTAATCATAGAGCAAGAATAAACATATATTATATCTAGTGGTCAACAAGATAATACGACTATAGGCTTTTCGGATTTGATGGAGTTTTATTATTTTGTTTATGTTTATTTATGTACATATATTTTATTTATTTCTGCACAGAACACAAGATTCTGAATGTGGGGCCAACGGAGCCCTGGTCAGTCAGAGAGAAGCTATGTCTGGCCTCATCCGTTATGAGAAGTGGAGATCAAAACTGGTAAATAAAATAAAATGATGAGGTCTAAATACTAAGACCATTGATGCTGCAAAAGTTTAAAAGAGATATATATATATATGATCGACTATTTGTCACATCACTGTTACAGCACTGAAAAAAATATATATATATATGATCGATTATTTGTCACATCACTGTTACAGCACTGTGTATAGTGTCAGCTCTGTCAGTGTTAATAATAACAAAGTTATGCTCATAGTTTATGTCACATTTAACAACAATAGCTTGATTTCCCATGTTGCAGGGTCTCTGTGAGCAGAGCCATCAAGCCTTTCTCCGAGTCTGGTCGCCCACCTGACTGGTTCTCACAGAAGGTGAGTACACTGCAGTACTCCACAAAAAAAAAACAAAAAACGATTGTCACTATTTAAACCTGTAACATGTCAGCGTTGGTGTCAGGTTAACAGGTTTTCTTTTTTCCTCAGCATTGTGCGTCACAGTACTCCGAGCTCCTGGAAGCCACTGAAGCTCCAAAGTTAGTACTAAACACACGTACACACAACTCCAAGCAGAACAACTGTGATGATAAATTCTTTTTTTTTGTACACGTTCAGTATTTCAGTTGCCTTGTTTACTTCTTCACAGGCGTAAACGGGGTGAGAAGGGCGAGGTGGTTGAGACCATCGAAGATGTCATCGTCCGCAGGCTGACCACAGAGAGGATAGAGGAGCTGAAGAAATTACTGCGAGACACACAGGAGCAGTACAGGTACGAATACACGTGGAAGGAAAAAAAAAGTAAACAACTGTGAGTCCTGACCTTTGACCTCCCTGTGATTTCTGTCTGTACAGGAAGTTGAAAAAGGAGGTGGACCTGATACAGACGGGTCACATGGACTCCCAGTTAAAAGAGCTGTGGGCAGGGATCGCACTGTAAGACTGTTACTCTGTTCTCCAGAGACCTTTATTGTTGGGGAACACTGTTCTCCGACAACTGTTTCTCAGTTCCCATCTCTGGTAGCTGTAGAATCTTCAGAATATTGTAAGCAGCTGAGACTAGACAGACAGATATTCTCCTAATCCTGCTTTACTTTTTTTAATCCAGAAAGAAGAAGCAGGATGAAGAGGAGGCGGAGCAGAAGAGAAAAGCGACAGAAGCAGCTTATCAGGGTAAGTCTGAGGCATTGAGATTCACCTGCACTGCTTTAACAAGTGGAAACCAACAACTGAGTAACAGCAGGACAGACCTCTTCATATTTGTTACCTCGTCCAGGTCCCTGTATTTAAACATTTACCACAAGTACATCTACTGTTCCTGAAAAATAAAAGATCAGTGAGTGTAATTCTTCTGCTGCTCTTCTTCTTTCTCTCTCTGCGTCGCAGCGCGTCAGGCTGTGAGGAACACCCCCAAGAGGATGCCCAGTGTAACTGTACGTTCTCCTCTGGGGGCCAGCCCACCGATGCTGGACTCCCAGGGCGACACTTCAGTCTCCACACCGCCCATGGACCCAGGAGGCGTCCCCTCTGATGACAGTACCACGCACTCTGTTGTAAGAACAAACACCTTTGACAGCATAATGGACACCATGACATGCAGGGGTGTCAAATACACGGTCTGTGGGCCAAAACCGGCACACTGGGGGGTTCAATCTGGTCCGCTTGATTAATTTTGATAGTGGAAGTATTTTTTTTTCTTACTCTCTGACTCTGAATAGTGGAAGTTTTTTTTTTCTTACTCTCTGACTCTGAACGCTGAGTTCCCACTCATGCCGACCCTCAGTTCTGACACTTTCACTGATTCTGTTCTGCTCTTCCCAGGCTCAGGGGGTTGGCATTTTTCTACCAGTGACGGAGGTTTCAGGCTCTGGGCCCAAAGACGGCGGCCTGGCTGCTTTAGTGGAAAACGACTCCCCACAGAAGAGGCACCTGACCCAGAAGACCACACCGCCGCCCTCTCCTCTTCTGTCGGAACTGCTGAAAAAAGGCAACCTCATTGCCAGCCCCCGCCTGGTGAGTTGTGGTAACTACCTCCGAGTCAGTGAGCTGTGATCCAGTACTCTCCAGGACCCCGACCCCTCGGGTGTTTTGGTGCCTGCCTGTAAACTGCCTTAAGATCCGTTTGTTGTTCTTGATTCATGTCTAGGTCTCAGAGAGCGACGCTTCAGGAAATCTGACCAATGGACTACAGATGGCCACAGCTGCCACCGCGCTGCCTGCTGGTCATGAAGTCATCACAGGTCAGTGTTCATTTATGGTTATTGATTATTGGTGCAGTAACAGTAACAGGTTGACTTTTATTGTGCGGTGGTGTCAATAATTTGTTTTTACTCAGAGGGTGAGGCAGAGGCTGCGGTGAAGGCCGAGCTGGGTGAGGACACGGGGCTGGTGGAGGAGGATCTCGTCGCTGTGTCGTCTTATATGGATGATGAGCTGGACCTGGCAACAGTAGGAGACATCATCGCCATCATAGAGGAGAAGGTACGACAACACCGGCGGTGAGTCTGTCTCTTCTCCGCCTGTCGTCTTCATCCTTCTCCGTCTTTCCTCCCGCCGTCAGGTGGACGACTCTGTGGAGGCGTTGGATGCAGCAGCCGTTGAAGCGGCGCTCTCTCTGTGTGAAGAGGCTGTGTCAGAAGAACACACCCTCCCCGGCCCCTGGGAGACCCAGGACCTGAAGGCTACACAACCCAAGTCCGGAGTCCAGGACGTGACGTCGTCGATGGAGCAGCAGGACGCGAGCGCGATGTCGGCCTCCATCCTCGTCAGCGTGGAGACCCAGTGCCAGACGGGGAGTAAAAGAGAGGAGCAGCTCAAGGGGAGCTGTGAAGCAGCGGAGGTGACAGGAAGTGATGTAATGTGTTCGGATGTTACATCAGAAGATGGTGCCGCGGGAGGAGAGATGAAGGAGGAGGCAGCGATGGAGAAGGAGACGACTGAAGCACTGGTGAAGAGTGAAGGAGAGGAGTGGAGTCAACCGGAGCCAAACCCTCCCTGTCTAGGTGAGTCTCTCTCTCTGTTTCTCTCTCCCTCCCTCTCTCTCTCTCTAACTCCTGTCGTTTCTGTTCCACAGACTCTGAGGACAGCTCTGTGTCTGGCAAAGAGTCAAAGGTAAAAACACCTAGAGTCGAGAGATCGCGGTGTTTCAGCGACACTTTTTGGAACCAAATTTGATTTATTTACACATGGAGATGTGATCAAAGCACGAACACCTAAAAACCTGTCAGTCTTTAGACACAAGTTTTTATTTTTATTTTTTTAAAGCTAATATCCAACCAATAAGATACAAGGTTGAAATGACCTGGTGTTTTTTTTTCCATCTTCATTTCCACCGTGTGTTCCTGTAGGTAAATAGACACTGAACTGTACAGTGATCTCAAACCACCTTCTCATTAGTTCCTTTTTTTTTAAAGCTGTACTTTTTACTTGTGTTTATTTATTTATTTATTTATTTATTTATTTATTTATTTATTTATTTATTTATTTATTTATTTATTTATTTATTTATTTATTTATTTATTTATTTATTTATTTATTTATTTATTTATTTATTTATTTATTTATTTATTTATTTATTTATTTATTTATTTATTTATTTATTTATTTATTTATTTATTTATTTATTTATTTATTTATTTATTTATTTATTTATTTATTTATTTATTTATTTATTTATTTATTTATTTATTTATTTATTTATTTATTTATTTTATTTTTTTACAAAGGAGATGAAAGAAGAGGAGGCTGTCAGTGACGGGGACCCTGAAGAAGGGATGGAGCTGAAGGAGGAGTGTGGGGAGGGGCCTTATCTGTCAGAGGTGGAGCGAGCAGCCAGTGAGAGCGAGGACGGCTACGGTCCGCCCTCCCAGCGCTACACCGCCGATTCGCTGGCCAGCAGCCCGGCGTCTTCGTCTCAGCTGTGAGTGTCTGTGTGTGAACTGTGTCATAACCAGTGAGTCACGGAGCGCTGCGGCCTAGTGGTCAAATGACTGAGTGAGTCAGGCCAGGCAGATGACCTAAGGTGACCCCTGTCTTTACTATGTCTTAGATTTTGCTAAGTTGGCAATGAGTCATGACCCGAATGTCGTTCAGTTTCTCTGAGCCAATTAAAGCCCTCAAAACTGCTGACATCACTTTTCTCACACCATGTACTTTTGTCTCTCTGTCACTGGAGGTTTCTGTTCTTCTTTTCCATTTCTATTCACTGTGGACTCCACTGAAATAATCAAAAAACAAAAATCCCCACTCACTTCCTCCTCTCGTGTTCTTCTGTGCCGCAGATCGACGTGCGGTGAAGACCAGGAGGCGGTGCAGGCGCAGAAGATCTGGAAAAAAGCCATTATGCTGGTGTGGAGAGCTGCAGCCAATCACAGGTGGAGCTGATGACCGGCTTTTGTGTCACTGAACAACAGCGCTCTGTTGTTGTAACGTACTTGAACCAACGACCCGCACACAGTCTGTGTCGTCCCACTGTCCTAAATTCTCCTAAATTTGGTGTCAAATTGTTTTTTGTTTTTTTAATTCCCGCTTAAAATATTTAATTAAAAAATCTGCGACCAAGACAAAGTAGATCTTCCTGTGAGTCACGGTTTTTATAGAAGACTCAGACTCAGAGAGTGCAGTCGTCTGTTTCCAGCTTTGTCCAGATGGTGGCGTAGAATGTTGGCGTTGTTTCATCAAACACTGTTTGTGATTTGATTTGTTAGAACACGTGTCTTCCTCCGACCTAGTTTTACAGATTTGGTCGGTCTTATCCAATGACTCATCATGTGAAAGACAAACGGCAGCGGCTGAGCTGGTGATGTTTGTCACGATGATGTGATATTTCCATCTAATCTCACTTGTTTGTCAAACTTCACATCACCGTGACCATGAGTTACTCTGTCAGAACACGTGGTTGAACTTTTTACCTCCTCACTTCAAAAAGCAGTCGTCGTCGCCACTTAAATTAAAAATATATAAACATATAAAGCTGAACCCTGACTCAGTTGGAGACAATGTGCGGTCTCATGATGTTAATGACTGTTCTTGTCCTCTTGTCCTCTGTCCCTCAGGTACGCCAGTGTCTTCCTGCAGCCCGTGTCTGATGACATCGCCCCGGGGTATCACAGCATCGTACACAGGTCTGACCAGTCACATGACACAAACACACCCGCACTAAGGCAGTGTTTTGTCAACCTTAGGACTGCGCCCCCATGTGGGGTCGGTTGGAATGCAAATGGTTCTATAGTGAAGCGGTTAGCACACCTAAAAGCAAACAGTTCTATAGTGAAGCGGTTAGCACACCTGCCTTAGACGCAGAAGGTCCAGAGTTTGAACCCAAGTCGAACCATATACTTATAGTGACGTTGCTTTGGATAAAAGCGTCTGCTTAATGAACCATATACTTATGTTGACGTCGCTTTGGATAAAAGCGTTTTCTTCATGCATTAATGTGAATATATGATCTAGTAATTGATTAAAAAAAGACTAATAAAAATATATATATTTGAACAAATTATTATTTTAAAAATGTTATTATCAAAAACATACTATCTGAGCGTCCAGTCTTGATGGACGGCTGTGATCACGTGACATCTCTGGGGTCACAAGACAAAAAAAAGCAGAAGTTAATGTTAGAAGTACTGGATCACACTTTTCTTTTACTATATATACTGTACATACAGCCTTTTACACTGCGTCTATTTCCCCCCTTTTTTTTTTTTTTGCTGTGTCAGTATGACTGTGGCGAGGTCACCTGCTCATGATCACATGACCATGTGACTTGGAAAAGGGCGGAGTAGCCAGAAATGTCAGTAAAACATTCCACAGTTACTACGTAGAGTAAAAGTCAGAGTAAACGTGAAGTGTTGCACAATAACATACTGAGAGTCGGAGGAAACTTTTGGAAATTTCTAAAATGAAAAAATAAAATGCAAAAGGTCAGGGTGAGATTGCTGACATTGGCCACAAGGGGGCGTAAAACACAGTACATGCTGTTATTTGTGGGGGTTTTTTTCAGCAAATAAACAAAAAAAAGTGTTTTTATGTCATATTTACGAATGTTGATTCATCATGATTAATTCTCTTTTAATCGCGATAAATAGCTAACATTGGGTTATTAACGTTTCACCGCCCTGTAAACGACCTCCTCTACGCCTGTGACTCCTCCCGTTTCAGACCCATGGACTTGTCGGCCATAAAGAAGAACATCGAGTCCGGCGTGATCCGCACCACGGCGGAGTTCCAGCGCGACATCATGCTCATGTTCCAGAACGCCGTCATGTACAACTCCTCGGACCACGACGTCTACCACATGGCGCTGGAGATGCAGCGCGACGTCCTGGAGCACGTGCAGCAGTTCCTGGCCACGCAGCTCATCATGCAGACCTCAGAGAGCGCCATCTCTGCCAAGAGCCTCCGTGGCAGAGAGGGGAACCGTAAACCGGGAGAGCCGGCCGAGAAGGTTGGTGTGAACTCAGCTGACCTACAGACATGTATTTAAAAAAAAAAAAAAAAAAGAATTCTGGAGGATGACCTTTGACACCAGGTCACAACCTGCTGCTTTGTCTGGTTTAAGGTTTGAAATCCTCTTCCTAGAATCAGAAGGTTCTAGATCAAAGCCTGTTGATGGGTTTCCGTTTCAGTTTGGTGTCCTTGTTGATGGGTTTCCGTTTCAGTTTGGTTTGAAACGTGACGTTTGCAAAATTGACAAAATCTGGTCAATTTTAAGGAAACGCTGAAGAAAGACCAGACACTCCTGTCTGAGGACTTTCTGACTGACCCTCATCAGGGTCAGATGAGTTGAACTTTGCTCATTTAAGAGGTAAATGAGGGCTTTAGACCAGAGGTTTAGAACCTGTGATTCTTTAGCCTTTTGATATGAACGTGTTCCAAGCACAAATTGGTCCAATCAGACGGTAGACTCAGTGGGCGGCGGTTCACGCTGTAACGTCAGTGACTCACCAGCAAATCAGGTTCTGAGCTATTTTTACTCCCTGTCTTTAGCTCGTCGCTATAAAACAACATAACGTCACCGTCGTCGTCTTCTTCTAACGGCAGGTGCATTTCATCAGCGCTGCAGGTAGAGGGAGCAAAGGTTGAAATGTGTCACACTGTGGGGGATTAGCAGCTGGTGTTAATTGGTGTGTGGAAGACACACACACACACACGTTGTCTTATCTACACACACACTCGGTGTGTGTTCTGTACCCGTCAGTGGATCGACTGCTGGTCTCAACTCTTCAGCTGAGCCTCGTGCTGCATGACCCCCCCCTCCCCCTTCTACGCTCAGTTGGATGTGTGTGACTTAACCGCATGAACGAGTGTCGTCTGTGTGTGTGATTATCAACTGGAGGCCCGCGGACCAACTCAGGCCCGTAACTGGATTCCAAAAAATAATGTTAGACAAAAATGTGATTTTTTTTTTTTTTAAATTAATTGTAATTGTTAAGTGTCTGTCCAGAAAGAATCTGGTCTATTGGTACCTACAGTATATGCTTTTATGTTTTTTTTTACTTTTCTATGATCTGTTTTTCGTCCTTCCCGGAGTGTGTGTGTTTGTGTGTGTTTGTGTGTGTTTGTGTCGCAGCCCCACGGACTCCTGCGGCCCCGTGCTCTTTGGTGTCGACCCACACTTGTATGGAACTTGCTTCACACGCACGTTTGTCTTTTCTGTCTTTCTCACTCCGATGTTTGTCCTCCTACAGGACAGTGTCCCAATGGCCTCTCCTGCTTTCCTTCTCTCTCTCTTTGTAAGTATTCAGGTCCGCCCTCAGATTTCACCAGACGCAGGACTCGCTCTGTCCTCATGTTTGTCCCGCAGGCATGCACATACCCAAAGATACAGTACGCATACTCTACATGCAGTACACGCTACACATCAGTACTCCGTGTCTCGATTATTTTTTTATTTTATTTTTTGCTCTTTGTCGCTCATTGATGTAACGCTCATAAATTTAAAAAAAAATCAACAGTTTTTCTGTTCTGTTAAACAGGTGAACACACATCGTTGTTGTGGCTCATCAGAAAACATACCATGTTGCGTAGCACATGTGATGATATTTTGAGCTTGTTCAAAGTAAAAGTCTTTAGCAGAAAACCCTGGACTACGATGGATCAATTCCTGATTTTTTTTTTTTGCAACTAACTTTACTCTGTGATCTACCACCAAATGTGATCGATAATGTTGACATATTTCTGGCCTCAACAATGGATTGAAATAATTTGATTAAAGAATGAATAATTGTTTAAATTTACTCTAAAATCAACAAGTTTCTATCGTTGTCTAGTATTTCCAGGAAAAGTTGATTTTTATTTAGCCCTTTATTTTGGAAATAGCTCAGAATGATCTTTTTTCTTTTTTTTTTTTAAAACACTTTGTTGATGTGAAAAATGCGTAAAGACCATCTCTCACTCACTCCAGTAGGGGTCACACCTGCACACTCTTCACTGATGTTCAACTTTAGCTTCATTCACACACACACCCACAGAATCCTTTTCTCACCCCACCTTCCTTCATCCCTTCGTTTATTTCTCCATTGCTAGCTTTCTGTGTCTTTGCGTTTATTTCTGTCTGTCGAAGTTTCACCTTTTTTTGCTCCTTTTTAACATTTTATTTATTTTATTTTTATGTTCTTCATTTGAGGAGGAAGTCTTCTGAGAGTGGCCTGTGCTGTGTATTTGTGCAGAGTTCAGTGGTGTGAGCAGGAACACACTCCTCATCTGACAAGTGTATTTTTCACTCCTGTGTTCACCAGGATTTGTCTTTTTCTTTTCTTTTTTTCCCCCCTTATCTTTTCACTGCAGGACGGAGGCACCAGGGGGCGCCGCAGTGCCATCGAAGCAGATCTAAAAATGAAAAAATAGACTAAAGTTCTGAAGACTTCAGAGAAGGTGGGCGGTTCTCTCACTGCTCACCTTCAGCATAGATGACGTCACACGTGACTGTCATTGGACCTGACAGAGCTGCAGTCAGCGCCACTGCATTTCAATGACAGACTAATGTTGGATTTCACTACAGGAGAGAGAGAGGAAAAAAAGCTAACATGCCAACGTCCTTATTATGGTTTCACCAGCGGGGGGCGTTGGTTGACGCTCCTTCCACCTGGAGTGGAAACATCAGAGAACACTGGGAAAGAAGAAGAAGAAGAACATTCTCACCAGCAAATGCTTGTTTGGATTGAGACGGTGAAGTTTGAGTGAGTCTAAATTTTCATAAGGATTCGTGGATGCGTTGATGCCAGTCAGCTGAAAGTCCAAAGACAGCAACAGCACCAACCACCAGGGGGAGACGTCAAAATGTACAGTATCCATGAAAGCACTGGACCTTAGAGAAGTTGTTTTTGGATGTATTTCCTGTACACACAAATGTAGAAAATATAATGATAATTCACAAAAAAATTTAAAAACCTTCTACAGAAAACTTTTTTTATTATTTAATATTAATTTGAAACATCTGTCCAAGTTCAATAAGCAACTTGTCAGCCCGGCAATATGTGGTGATGTTGAATGTCTGCTGTAACAGCTGGTAATTAATTGTAATATTTAATACAATTAATAGGTGACTGTGTGTCTGTCTTAGTCTTTTTGAACCTCATCAAACAGCCTTAATTTATAAGAAATTCATCTCTTTTATTCTCTTTCTTTTATTTTTAGCTGGAGTTGTTTGTCAACAGCAGACAACGGCTGATTCTGATTGGTGGAAACTTGGTGACAGAGAGGGTTAATAAAGGGATTAAAAATAGATTTATAACATTAATCCCAGACCAGGTTTCTGTTTGACATCAAATTAACACACACTTCCTCCTCAGTCAGATCCTAAATATTCAGCTGAAGGCAGCGTCAGAGAAACGACGAGGATTTACCACAGACACCGGTGTTTGACAAACACAAAACTAGTTATTTTGGTCAGGATTCATGTGAAAACACAGAAATCTTTGGCCTGTTGCTGACAGTAGTAC